CCCTCTGTAAAGTAGTCGTGTCTTATGTCCCTCCTTGTGTTCAGGAATTGTTTTTATGTATATTTGTTCAACGGAAGAGGTAGTGACTGACAAGGGCTGTGGACACAGGCTTCCCCCTTGGCTAGTTTTCTCCTGGACTCCTCTCTGCCTGCTCACTCCTGCCTGCCAGGCGCCCCTCGTCTCACCCAGCTCGAAGCCTGCAGCGTCCCACGAGTGCCTGTCTCGCCCCCCGCCCCACGCCTGCATGTGCAGCACCGGCTCGCCTCAGGGGCTGGGGGCTCAGGGGCTCCCTCCCCGCTGATGGAGACGACCAGCTCTGCTTTGGCTCGCTGCCTGCGCCAACCCTGGACCCCGTGCCTGGATCCTGCTGCGGCCCGAGCAATCCTGCGAGGAGAGCACGGGAGCAGGGTGCTGCTGCCTCCTGGCCACGGCTCTTCTGGGTGCTTTCGGACCAGTCCCCTCCACAGCCTGTATCTCGTGCTTTGCCTGTGTGCGTGTGGCGTGGCGGTGACCCCCCTCCATGTATCTCGCCTCCAAGTAGAGTTTTGGGGTGACCCATCACAGGAGGCTGGAGCGAGAGGTGCTGCACTGGTCTCGAGCCGTGGCAGGCTTGGGCCATGGCCTGGGGGGCAGGGGCTGACCCCAGCTCTGTGCTCTGGACACCGATGGGGTCCCATCAAGGCACGTGGATCCTACAGCTTCCCTGGTGGGGCAGGGAGCAGGGTCCTGCCATTTCCATGTGCCCGTACCTCTGCTGTCCATGTGGCCCTGCCCCAAGGACTGCCGGGGCACCAGCCTTCCTGCACGGCCACGAGAACCAGGAGGTTTTTGTTCCCCTCCTTGGCCTTCCCTGCTGCCTCGGGCTAACGGCAGCACGTGGCCCAGCCTCGGTGCCAGCCTGGCTGCCAGGGGCAATGCTTTGTGGCAGCTGGATGGTCACCCAGCCTGGAAACCAGGGCAGAGGGACTGGAGGAAAGTCTTCGTGGCTCTCACTACTGAAGGAGAAGTGCTTTGCTCCTTCTCACACAGCAGTAGCTGCTGGGTTAGCTGTACCCGGCCAGCTCGTGTCCCTTTTAGTTAGCAGCTCCAGTTCTTGACCCCTGGGCTGATGGCTGGAGCTGTCCTGCCATGTCCCAGGGCAGGATGGCCACGTGCCTGTGCTTGCTGCCAGGCTGTGCTCCGGCTCCTGGTACATCCTCCACACTCCTACACTCACAGGTAGGTGCTGGGACCTGTTGGGACACGAAACCTTTCGCTCTGTGAGCCGAGTCTGTGTTCTCTGGGCAAAGGCCCTGTCCCTGATTGCGCCGGCCCCGTGCTCTCCCGTGCCAAATGGAGCTGGATGAGAAGTGACCAAGCGCAGCCCTGCTAAGAGCAGCGTTGCCTTTACCCTCCCCACTGAGAGACTGTTCCAGGTAGAGCCCGGCCGCCCACCACCGATACCCCAGGTGTGTCCCCACTGCCCCGGGGAAGGCAGCACCCCCGGCCCCGCACCAGCAAAGCAACTAAAGGAGGGGAGGTCTCAGTCCCCCTCCAAAGGGCTCACACTCCATCCAGACCCTGCTCCTCTTGACTACCAGCTAACCAGAAGGGAAACAGCACTGCAGCAAACAACCAGGCGTCTGTCTGGGCCCTGGACGCAGTGAGGAGGCTGAGGGTGAGATCCGACTGCACAACGGACCCCTGTGTGTCTGATTTGTTACATGTGTCCAAGTCTCTGTCCACGACACTGTCATTCCAGACAGAGACTCTGTACAGCCAAACCCCCCACGCGACGGTGGCTGGAGGCCTGGGTCACACAGCCCTGGCACAACAGGCTGTGGCCATCCCCAGGGCTGGCTTCTGCTCGTCCCCACGGGAAGGAAAAGGAGGAGGGGGGTGGACTCTCGCAGCTACAGGTAGAATAGAACTGTTAATTAATATTTGACTTTCAGAAGTTGTCAAGGATATATTTTTGTTTGTGTTCTGTTTCAATTTCTGTAGATTATAAACTTTAAATGGCTGTAAACCATGTGAGGAGGAAAAAAAAAAAAAAGGTTAATAAAAATGCAAAGCCCCAACATTTGCACAAAAGGATCCCTGTGGTGTTGCTGTTTGCACTCACTGAGCATCTCACCATCACAGCTTCCTCTCTTCGTGGAAATCTTGCTGGTTGCACTTCAAGCCAGTGGTATAAGCAGAGGCATTGTGCCAGGCAATCTTTTAAGAGACATCTTATGGTTTGGGCTACCCCCTTGCATTTCAGTACATGCAGGAGGAAAAAAACCTGGACTGTCTGGAGCCAGCCTGTTTAATCAACCCAAAATTACTCAAGCAGAAAATTCAGCTGACTTGCACAGCTTCTGGCCTGAGGATATTGAACAGGCGCAGCAAGGGACATCAGGCAATCTGGAAACCTCATCTGATAGATCATATGGTGCTGTCTCCCCACCTCTTCCCACATGGGAATGGGAGACAATACGCCTCCAAACTGACCACCGACCACTGCATCAGCCAAACCACCCCGCCAGGATTGCTCTTCCAGGTAAGCAACTGCTGTCACCATGCTGGGATGTCCAACCCTGGATGCAAAGAAGGGGAAGTGGGTGTGAGAACCCCCATCAGGTGCGTGCACTGAGTCTGAAATCCTGCTGCTTCAAAGAGATGAGGGTGGGTGTTTGCCCTTGCAGAGTGGCTCAATGAAGGTTAAAATCAGTCTGAACTATTTTAGGTATAAAAGTTAACCCCTAAGGTCTGAGAAGAGAGATTGGCTAGAAGAGCAAGAGGGCTAACAAGAAAGCAGATCAAAAAGGGAGCAGCTCCTTGAGCTAATGAAGAGCTGTTTTGACTTCAGTACCAATGTACTGCAGAGATAACACTTCACTTCCCTCAGTGCAACACTGGGGCATTCAGAGGTGGCACAGGGACGTGATGGGAAACAGGCTGTGTGCTAAGTGAACGGCCTGTTATCTAACAGGGGTTTATTCTCACAATTCTGCTTTCTAGTCTCACTATCAAACTGCTGGAACTAATGCTGTGAGCCTGTGGCAGTTAAAGCAGTAGCAAGATTGTTTGTACTCCCACAGCGAGGTTAAATCAGGCTAGCCAAGTGGCTACAGAGAATTACACTTCTGCAGCAACCTCTTTTTTTCCCCTTAAGCTGTTTTGTTCCTCTGCCAGTGACCACATGGTTCTAAGGCTAAGGATTCATTTTTGCTTTCCCCTTTAAGACAGGGTAAAGGAATCTGGCTCTTGTCTCCGTACTTGAAATAAGACAAGATGTACAGATGGTGGTTTGTCTTCAGCTGGTATTTTAAGAAAAGCCTGGAACAAACTTATTTCTCCACAGGATCTTACCTCTCCCCAACAGATTAGCAAGCTGCAAACTGACAACTGTGAAACGCCTGCGGCACGTTCCAACACACGGTAACCTAAATCACTGCGTGTCTGTTGGAAGATTGTCCTCCTGCCTCTTTTAATGCTGGCAACACACTTAATCAAAATCAGACCCAAAGGATCGAAGAAGCCAAGAGTCCAGGCTCGTCTCCTGGAAACTGTCAGGCAGCTGATCTGTCCGGGAGATGCTGCTGGCTGTGCCCAGCCCCGTCCTCGCGTCCTCCCAGCAGCCTGCCCGCAGCGCCGTGCCAGGCCCCGTGCCAGGCTGCCGGCACCCCCAGCTCGTGCTGAGCAGGACCCCAGAGGCAGGGGAAGGTAAGGCTGGCAGAAAAAAAAGTGCTGGACAGAGGGAACCTGCTGCCCGGGCTCCCCGTCACCGCAGGTAGTAATCGATGGCCGCGGAGAAAGCAGAAAATCCGCCACAGCCGAGAGCCCCGGCCTTCAGACCAGCTGCAATGCAAACAGGAGGGGGAAGAATGAGACAAAACAGGAAAGATGCTTTGCTTCCCTGTAACTAGCTTATATTGTGCTGGCTTGAAGACTTCAGACCTCCAGGAATCCGGCAGTCTGCTACCAGGGCACACTGGCACGACCCCTGCCCACGGTGGCACACCCTGGATTTAAAACTGGCAGAGCCCACCGGCTGGGGGG